AATGCTAGTTTCTTTTTTGAGAGACCAAATTACAATAGACTAACCTCTTCTCCTCTATCTCTTTATTTCATCTTCTAGTTAAATAAGTTAAAAAAAAAGTAAAAAAGAATGATAAAAGTATCGTTAGTAACGCTATACTAGTTGTGTAAACGCGTACAGCCATAAACAACCGAACGAGAGGCAGCTGAACATCTTATAAACGTAAACAATGGAAAAGATGCATATTCGCTATGTTTGTATTTTATAATATGATACTAATATGTAAATATTACATGCATTATTATTGGATACAGTTAAGTAAAAAGTTAGTTTAATTAAAATCATGTTAGTTTATTTTAAATACAGGTGTACTTTTTGACAACAGTAAATGGATATATAGTTTGTTAAACATCGTAGTCAGGGCCAGCATTACATCCGCTAATTTATATATCATGTATGATGCAACCCTCTTAAAATTAGCTTCAAAATTAGTTCTTTAAAAGTTGCATGATACGCATTATTATTGGATATAGTTAAGTAAAACATCAATCATGTTTGTTTTAAATACAGTTGTACTTTTTGAATACAGTAAATGAATATATATAGTTTGATCAACTGTATAGCCAGGGCCGGAAATCTTTCTTTCTATGTGCCGTGTCCTTTCAGGACGTAGGTGATCAGGGCTCTCCACCTCCCTCTATCCCTTGCAGCTCTCAACAAGTTCCTTCCCTCTGCCACCTCCCCCAGACCACGTTCTGTCATCTACTTGCTTAAGGCCGCTAGGTATGTCATGCATTGTTTTCCCTTGTTTCTCTTTCCCTCTATTCGACCCGTGAGTATCAGATTCTTCAGGCCCTCCTTCCTCATTATGTGTCCCAGGAACTTCAGCTGCCTTTTCCTGATGTTAAGTATAAGCCTCCTCCTTGTTTGCATCCTCATCGTTGCTCACACACTCAGTCCATGATATCCTTAGCATCCTTCTGTAGAACCACATCTCCGTCGCCTTGAGTCTCTTCTTCATCTTTGTGGAAATTGTCCAACATTCGCTGCCGTAAAGAAGGACATATATCACGTAACAGCTCAGTATTCTTTTCTTTGTTACCAAAGAAATCCTCCTGTCTTGCAATACTCTGCCAACTTTTGGAACGCATCATTGGCAATTTAAATACTTCTACGGATCTTAGTGTCGCATTTTATATCTCATTAGCAGTAGAGCCCGGCGTTGCCCGGGGATGTAACAGTAAGAGATAGATCAAGTATCGATCATCATAAAGACTGAAAAATAAAATTGACAAAGATTATTGTTTAAGGTTGATGGACACGCATGTCTTAATTAGGTTGTTTGTTTTTTTGTTTTTGTTTTTGTTTTTTTAACGAATTGGTCAAACCCAAACTCAAACAAAAACATTGTTTTCAATCGTTATGAGTCTATCGATTGAATAGAATTTTATTATAAACAATTGTCTTGTAAATGGAATTTTTAAAGCATTCTGAATGTAAAAATAAAGAAAAAGTGTGCAAGACAATAAGAAACACTACCTGCCAAAAAAAAGTGAAGTTTTGTTGAAATCAGTTGAAAAATGTAGGAAATCCGATCCCATATATAAATGAACATACACACACAAACAACCTGGGTTTTATAATAAGTATATAACTCGATATGAGTTGCTCCACTTTCCTTCTGACGATGACTCTTAATCGTGTTTTCAAATTGATTTCGTGCAAAAACAATTGTGTTTTTCCCATTTTTGGCGTTGTCAGAACCACCGCAAGGTAATTTTACGTAGTCTTGTGAAGTTTTGTTGAAATCGGTTGAAAAATGTAGGAAATCCGATCCAATATATAAACGTACAGACACACACACAACCTGGGTTTTATAATAATATATATAAGTATGATGTATGATGTGACCCCCTTAAAATTAGCTTCAGAATTAGGTCTTGAAAAGTCGCATGATACGCGTGTATATACGATATACTGAATATTTTGTTAACGTGTGACACATATACTCAAAGAGTTAATGAGGTAGGTGTGGGAATTTGTTGGGAGTTGGAGAGACATTCAATCCTATTGTCTTTATATGCTGATGAATTTACGCAGCGTTAAGAATATGGAAAAATATACAGTGACGCATTCGAAGACATATTGTCACATATTTCTGAATCATTCAGTATTTCCTACGCCTTATTGTTAAACAAGGTAAAGTTAATTGCTTGTTTCAGTTGTTATTACTGTAAAAACGAGGAATCGATCTTTTATTTAATAAAGTAGTTTCATATTTCAATAATTTATTAAGGTCGTTTCTCATTATTACGAGTGATGCGGGGCTGTGGACTTGTTTGGGCGTATTTTGTTACAGCGGGTGACTGTGGCTAATGATAACATGCACGTTTCTGTGATGTCACACACTTTCTATCGCTGACCACGTTCTAGACTTCTCCTATGTACCTTGTCTCTGGACCACGTTGGCGATCATTGCTCTCCACAACTTTCCTGTCCTTTGTATGGCTTTTGTCTTTTTGTTACCTTTCCTAAACCCAGTTCTCCTATGCATTTACTCAAATTCGTTAGTTCTTCTTCTATGTGCCGTTCAGGACATTGGCGGTCATGGGTCTCCACAATTTCCTCTCCTTTATAGCTCTTAGTAAATTTTCTCTTTTTGTTATCTCTCCTAAACCCAGTTCTGCTATCCATTTAAATTCATTAGTTCTTCTTCTATGTGCCGTATCCCTTCAGGACATTGGCGGTCATGGGTCTCCACAATTTCCTCTCCTTTATAGCTCTTAGTAAATTTTCTCTTTTTGTTATCTCTCCTAAACCCAGTTCTGCTATCCATTTATTGAAGCTCACTATGTAGATTAATCGTTGTTTTCCTCTGTCCCTCTTGTCTTCAATCTGTCCCATGAGTATCAAATTTTCCAAGCCCTCTTTCCTCATTATACACCCAAGAAATTTTAGCTGTCCATTTCTAATGTTAATTATAATGTTAAGTGTCCTTCTAGTTTCCATTTTCTCTAAAAGCTTTATCGTTGCTCACATGTTTGGCACATTGTATAAAACGTATCACATTTCTGTTGCTTCAAGTCTTTTCTTCATCTGTGAGGAGATTGTCCAGAATTCACTACCATATAGGATGTCTGACATTACATAACAGTTTCTTTGTTTCTAACGAAATCTTTCTGTTTCTTAATGTTGTGGGGTTCTCCCCTTTTTACATAAAATGGACTCGTCCAAACTATATTTATACTGACAGAGAAAATACCTGCTGTTGAGATACGTCGCGATACACTCTCGACGTCTGTCGAACTCTGTGCTTTCCGGGGAGGTAGACAGGCCCTGAACCCGTCTAGGCGGTTTCAATGGGGATATTTTTGGCTACGGGCTCGGAGAAACCCACTTTAAAATCGGCCTTGTGCCACATATATTTCTCGTGGGTGGGATATTAAATAGCGAGATACGTGGAGATACGTTGAGAGATACAGGGACAGACACAGGGTGTTCTCAGAGAGTTATACAAGAGTCCAGAGAGAGATGATTACGGCTTTACTTACAGAGACTTATACATATACTTTCTACTAACCCGCATTCCTGGACTACTAATCTTCACTTCAAGTCTGTATTCTTACGTTTAATACACTTATTTTTCTATCTCAATTACTGGCATTGTTTATTTATTTGTGCAGGATTCCATTCACGGAATCCACAACACTTAATACTTTGCTTAGCTTTTAAAAGGCATTTTTCGTTATCTCATTGTGCCTTTTGCTTTCATTGTCGCATATTCCGTCCTCTGCTAAAATACTTCGCATATATTTAAATTGTTGTACATTTTTCATTTTGGTATCCCCAATTTGTAATTTGCATGTTGTGCTGTTCATTTTGCTAACAACTAATAACTCTGTTTTCTTGCAATTGATGTGTAGTCCTTTCTTCTCGCTTTCCTTCACTACCTACTGTAGGAGGTCTTGTAGTTTCCTTTCTTTGTTTGTTATCAACACTGTGTCATCTGCATATCTTATGTTGTTAAGAGTGTACATTTTAACATACCTAACATAGTTTAGTCCTTTCTTCTCGCTTTCCTTCACTACCTACTGTAGGAGGTCTTGTAGTTTCCTTTCTTTGTTTGTTATCAACACTGTGTCATCTGCATATCATATGTTGTTAAGAGTGTACATTTTAACATACCTAACATAGTTTAGTCCTTTCTTCTCGCTTTCCTTTTCTAACTACTGTAGGAGGTCTTGTAGTTTCCTTTCTATGTTTGTTATCAACACTGTGTCATCTGCATATCATATGTTGTTAAGAGTGTACATTTTAACATACCTTTTCTAACTATAGTTTAGTCCTTTCTTTGTTTGTTTCAACACTTTTCTAATCTATGTTTATTAAGTGTAGGAGGTCTTGTACCTAACATTTTAGTCCTTTCTTTGTTTTCTTATCAACACTGTGTCATCTTTCCTTTCATTTGTTGTTAAGAACACTGTGTCATTTTCTTAACATACCTAACATAGTTTAGTCCTTTCTTCTCGCTTTCCTTTTCTACCTACTGTAGGAGGTCTTGTAGTTTCCTTTCTTTGTTTGTTATCAACACTGTGTCATCTGCATATCTTATGTTGTTAAGAGTTTTTAACATACCTAACATAGTTTACATTTTTCTCGCTTTCCTTTTCTAACTAACATAGTTTAGTTTCCTTTCTTCTTTGTTTCCTTTTCTATCATATGTTGTTAGAGAGTGTACATTTTACTGTAGGAGTTCTTTCTTCTCGTTTCCTTTTTACCTACTGTAGTGTCTGTTTCCTTTTTTGTGTCTGTTAGCAACACTGTGTCATCTGCATAGGTCTTCCGGTATAACACCACTGTTGTATCTGCTGACCACATTATTTGCAGCAAAGATCTTTTCGAAAAAGTTTTTTAAAAAATGGTGAGATAAAAGATATCTTTGTTTTATTTGCAGTTATGTTCGAGGAAGCTTTTTGCATCACCTTCCGGGAAAATATCTTTGGGCTCCTGGTTCACTAGGCATGACTTTTTCAAGGTGGATTCTCCTCTTCGTCCTCAACCGATGTTTCTGCTATGACCTTACCTACTTCGTCAAAGAGGAACAAAGTGCCGGCATCTATGTAGGGGACATTGCCAGAGATACGCGTCTCTTGGAGAGTGTCCCTTCCAGCGACCGTCGACTTATCAGATTCAGCCAACTGCTGCAAGGTGTGGTCGGTAGTCCGCTGCTTTTTCGTGTTGCACGGAAAACCGGCAAAATCTACACTTCCCAGTCGCTAGACGCCGAATTGCTATGCCGATACAACAAGGAGTGTGCCCAGTTTGTCAAAGTCGCCGTCCGACGCGAAGAAAGCTTTATTAAGATCCTAAAAGTGAGGGTCATCATAAATGATATCAATGACCACATACCGGAATTCCCTGTCAAGCAGATTAACGTAAAATTCACCGAAAACGACTATAAAGGAACTAAAGTTTCTATTCCGAACGCCGTGGACAGGGACATTGGACTAGTCAATTCTCGAATAACGTACGATTTGGAAAACAACGATTACAGTCAGTTTATGCTGTCTTTATCGAAGAAAGTCGACGGAAACGTCAATCTTGGTATTGAGTTAAAGGATAGACTTGATCGCGAAGTCCAAGAAATATATTTAATTCGAGTGATTGCCAAAGATGGCGGTTCACCTTCAAAGCAGGGTGTTTTACAGGTCAACGTTTCTGTCGCAGATATCAATGATAACACTCCAGTTTTTTCACAAAGTGTCTACAACGTGTCCTTAATTTACGAACATAGTAGAGACGATGCAGTTGCCGTTTTGTCAGCCAGGGATCTGGATTCGGGTAAAAATGGTCAAATTTCTTATCATTTTAGCCCCAAGACGTCCGACTTGGCCAAATCCTATTTTGAACTGAAAGAATTAAACGGAGAAATTTATCTGCGGAGGAAGTTCGAGACTGAACGTGATCTGACGTATGAGCTGTTCGTGAAAGCGACAGACGGGGGTAACCCCCCTCTGAGTTCAATCGCCTTAGTTTTCGTCAATGTGATTAACCAAAAAAACACCGCTCCTATCATCAACATTAATTTTTTTTCAGCCTCGACCAAAAACTCGAGCGCCATTTCTGAAGATATCAGAGTTGGCAGTTTTATAGCCTACGTGATGGCCATCGACCAAGATACGGGACGTAATGGCGAAGTCAGCTGCGACCTGAAACACGATAAATTTCAACTTCAAAGTTTAGCAGAAAAGGAATACAAAATAACAGTCAGTAATCCAGTGGACCGGGAAACGGAAGACCATTATGAGATTACTATCTTTTGCCGAGACAAAGGGACGCCATCTTTGCACAGCGAAGCCAGCTTTTCCATCCAAGTGACAGACGTCAATGATATGAAGCCTCAGTTTTCCAATGAGACATTTATATTCTACATCAATGAGAATGAAAAATCAGGCACTTGGGTCGGTTCCATCAACGCCACTGACCTCGACCTAGGTCTCGGAGGGAAACTGACGTATTCCCTGCTAACTAACAATGAACGCTTTCTACCTTTTCAGATTACTGACGACGGAAATCTATGCAGCGTCATGTCTCTGGACTCTGAATTTCAAGACATGTACAAATTCTGGGTTGTAGCTAAGGACAACGGCAGACCCTCACTGAATAACACAGCGCATGTTTCAGTCAAAGTACAAGACCTGAATGACAACGCCCCACATTTCACATTCCCCAGTGTTAACCCTTTCACTTTAGATATTGTCTATTACCCGAATCAGACAAGAAACATCACCACACTGAAAGCGGCTGATAGTGATAGCCTGGAAAACGCTTTTCTCAAATACGAACTAAGCAACAGTAATGATAAACAACTTTTCCACATCAACGAATTTACAGGTTTGCTGTCTTTCGGTCGAGAACTGGTACAGACGGACTCAGGATTTTATAATCTTCGGTTTGTGGTTAAAGACAGTGGCGATCCCGTTCTTTCTGCCACGACAAATTTGAACATACGTCTGATTGTCAGTAACAAGACGTTTGAAAAAATGAACGCTTTTCAGGTTGATCCAAACGACAGGATACACGTATATCTGTTGATATTCATTGTGCTGGTAGCCATTTTGGCATCGGTTATTATTACGGCTCCTATTTCGATATGTGTCATTCGCTGCAACGACCAGAATCATCCTAAACGCAAAAGAATGCATAACCCTTCTAATAAACGCATTAGAGACTTGAGAATGTCAATGTGTCCCACGTACTGGACTGAAGTGCCGGATAATTTAGCCGAGGAGGAAGTTACTCTTGAGAACACACTCACTAGAACCAAAGGAGTTCCTTCTGTAAAATATGAAGCAAATAAAGAACTTCGGAATCGGTGTCTTGAGATGAAGACCCGCACAGACAAAGACGTTATTTACGAGGTAAGTCATGGTTTACGATCTTTATTAAACTTAGTATGTCGGAGTTAGCTCCTCCTTAATTCCCGAATTGTTCACTAGGGGTCATTCCCCTTATACTATAAATACTGGGCGACTTCTTGCCTCGTTCTCTTTTTCATTTCTTCATTTCAGCGACTACAATGTAAGCTATCTTAGAAGATCCACGTCTTTCCATTTGTGGGAGACGCTGTGAACATTAAACACGCATACACGTACGTACGAACATTCACCAAAATACAAACATTCACCAAAGAACAGAGACAAACGCTCACACACACACAAATATTATTGTCTATGTCCATTATAAAATCGTTTTAATACATATATTTGTTTATATATATATATATATATATATATATATATATTGTTGTATTCGGTTTTGTTTACATCTTCATCTTCACTTGACTTAACTTGAGTCCGGCAATTTTCTTGTAGTTGGACCTTTCAATATTCTACCAGGAGTTACACACGTTTTTTTAATACGACAACATGTAAACACACACACGGTCCTCTACAAGTACAACACGTGACGATTGCAGAAAAATGTACGCAGAAAGATTGTGCTGCAACGAGTGGGAAGGCCATTCGTGTTTTGAAAATGAACATACGAAATCCTTGCCTTTTTGCTTAAGTCTGAATATCGACCATGGCCTACCAGACAAATCCCAGTGAAATAATTCCAGCAGCGTTTGTAATTAGACATAGATTATTATAGTAAATAAAATTCCAATAATTTTCAAAATTATAAATTGCAATTTATTTACATTTTTATAACGATTTTTATTTATTAAGTTGGCCAGTCTTAATTAGGAAACGAAAAGAAAATAACAAGATTTTATGAAGCAACGCCAACATTTATTCTTTAAAATAAAGTCCAACATTCTCGACGATCTTTTGTCAAGGATCAGCCAGCATCCGAATCTGTCTCAGATACCCGCCCGTTGGTTTTGGATAATAAAAAAAAAAGCTGTAAGCAAGCTTCCTTCACTCCATCAAAAGTGTTGAATCGCTGGTCGCGGAGAATGTGTGCCATTGGACGGCTAGAGCAGACGTTCTCAACAGGGGTGGAGTTCAGCGCCAGGGGGTAAATTTTCAGAGGTGAATTGTGACCACAGTAAGTTAGAGGAGGGGGAATTATAGAATTTAGCCTATCTGGCCTGTCACCTTGAAAAGGAGGTAGGTGGCATTCTGACAAGTGGTGAAAAAGGTGCATGGGGCAAGTAAGGTTGAGAACCCCTGGGCTATAGTCACTCGGAGCAGCATCGGGATTGAATGGTGGATGTGGAAGAATCTCAAGACCATCCATCTATTTGAACTTCTCCTTAGTCAACCTAGCAGTGTGTGGCCTCTCATTCTTTTGCTGAAAACAAAGCCCCACCTCGATTGGCCAAAGGAGGATACTCCTTTAGTTTGTCGTACACGGAGTCTAACAGCTGACAATACAGTTTAGCATTGGTGGTGCGACCGTATGGAACAAGCCCGAAATGCTGTACTCTTTGGAAAATTCCACCAGACAGAGATCAAGATTTGTTGTTTTCTGTCCGCTTCCTAAGTGAGTTAGGACTTTCTGGCCAACAGAGTATTTAACTGGTAATAGTAAGAATAACCATTTCCGTACAGCGGACTTTAGACATTTATTAACCGAACAGTTAGCATTACTGTCATTTGAAATGTATTTTTGTTTTCTTAAAATAGCTTTTTCAGGAAATTACACCGTCGAGTCCACTAATTATTATAGCTTTTTCTAATACTAATGGAAGTCCCCTTTCAAATCATCTGTTTAAGGCAGTCCCGAAAATTAATATCTTTATTATATCATTGTTTTTTCTTCTAGTTGCATGTGCTACCAATGTTTGTTGTTATTGCCACGGAGATGTTCAGGCGTTGTGGATTTCGATATATGATAAAGCTTTTTGTGATTTCATAGCGCCAGTCTGTTGGATCTGATGAAGGTCTAGTGATAGCAACAAATAAGTCACTAAATAACCTCTAACCCTTAGTACTAAACCAAAATAATAAATAATAGAAAGCAAAATTAAAAGTTAAGTAATAAAATTACTTTTTAAAATATAGATAGGAATGATAATTAACAATAAATAAATAAAAACTGAAATTATAAAAAAAAAAAAGGTTAAATATGAAAATTCCCATAATGTAACGAAACAGGCGGTTTTGCTGCCAACTGAAACAGAAATTAAATTTTCCTTCTCTTCATCTTCGACAGCCCTCCGACAAACCATGGGGCGACTACCAGATACGCAAAATACTTTATCGTTTTTGTTTTCGGGTATTGTGTTGTATCTTGGAAATGATTTGATTTGTAATTTATATATTTCCGTTATGGGACCGATGGTGTCTTTTTAACCCACCCCAAACAAAATTACATATATATATAAAAAAAATGACGATAGCTAGGAAAAAGCAAAATTTATATGGCATTTTTAAAAAAGCTAAAAAAGAACAACCGGTTTCGTCCCAGGACTTATCAAGTTTATTTTCTGGGATATAACAAATATATATATATATAAGCGTGTAAATTAAATTAATATAACGAATGGAAGGGAAAAAATATGAATTTCAAGAAAACTAGATTCCAATAACATTCAGACCCAGTAAGCATTCCCTTTGTTTACAAAGGGAAGGCCCATAGGATCTGATATACAAGGACTCTAGAACCTTGAGGTGATATGAGGAGTGGGACCTAGATAAAATCAAAAACTGGTCCGCACTAAAATCAAACACACAATTCCTGCTATTTATTACATGCTCAGCAATAGCAGAGCCAGAAGTATTGGTTAGTTGGCTTTTCCTGGCATCCGGATTCAAAATCAAATATAAAAAATAAGTACATTCAGACAAGGCTAAAATATCATCAGTACAACCTGACAACAAAGGATTGTCATCTTTAAAATCTAAATGATTTATTCGCTTAAAAGTGTCTGTAATCTGATACATAGTTTTAAGTAACCATTCTAGTTATTTGAAATGTGTACATGTGCCTGATATTTTAGTAAATGCCATTATTCAAAGAAGGTGACATGTCGTTTCAGTTAGTGATGAATCTTTTGTTTCCTGTTTCTTTCTTTGAGTGAAGGGGGACGCTTGGAATATATTTGTGTAGAAGAGCTGGCATTTTTAGGTTGACTAACCACGACCAATTCCAAAGTCTTGTGTTTATCTTTTTTCTGAAGATGAAAACAACTCGAAGGTTTTTAAATTTCCAATAACGATTGGTTGAAAATTCTTCTTTTATAATTCGTGATAGTTTTTTTTTCTTTCTCTTTTTACTCAGTCAGTTATGTGCCATGAGTGATGGTATTTATCAATTCACCCACGGGGATCGAATGTGTCACAAGGCCTTTTTAATGTGGGTATCTCTGAGCCCGTAGGCCCAGCCAAAAATAAATAACCATCCAAACTCGCCGAGGCGGGCCAATTCCGTCAACCTCCCCCAACGAAACCCTACCCTTCGGCGGAGCTTCGTCCGGGTTGCTCTCTGCCGAACTCTCTGCTTGCAGAGAGTTCGACAGACACCCGACCCGGCAGCTCACAAAGCGCAGATACTACACTTTGATCCTAGCCACCGGGCCGAGCGGGTATTCTTTTTATCGAAATGTGCCATGAGTGATACACGCTTAGGCGATCATGTATCTTTTGATACATGACTGATGAGGCAGATTTTTTCCCACAGTAGGTTGCCATTTCTTTTTGCCATCAAAGACTATAGAACCCAGTCTGTCCTGCTATTTAACCATAGCTGGGGGAAGAAGAAGAGGATTCACACCTTTCCCAAGGGTATTAGCACGTAAGTGAATGTAATGGATTCGACTGGAATTCGAACTCGGCTCTCCGATTCCTCAATCCAAGCCTCTATCCATTACTCCAATGCGCCTTCTTTTTTTTCCTACGTCCGTTAATTCCTAATGTTAATCTAGAATTATTTAGATTTTATTTTATGTCATTTTTTACTTGGAGCTTGCCGTCTTGTTATCCAATCTATCTATCTATCTATCTATCTATCTATCTATCTATCTATCTATATATATATATATATATATATATATATATAGGATAGGATGTGTGTGTGTGTGTGTGTGTGTGTGTGTGTGTGTGTGTGTGTGTGTGTGTGTGTGTGTGTAACGAATGCCCGGCCGCCATTTCGACGGATTTGCACCAAAATTTACATGTAGTTAGCGGGAAGGCCAAAACCGACTTTGCATTTCCCAACTCCCATCGATAGTGGAAATAATCGATTTTTTCATGCTTCTACGGCAGTTTTCATGTAGTTTGCGGTCATTTTCTTCTGGCCAGAGTGAGAGACCATAGCTGGCTGCCACAAATAGGCAGGAAGATTCTATTGGCCAGCGTGAGAGCCAACAGCTGACTGACACGAATGTTAACTAGCATGCTAGCATGCAAAAAAAAATCGATAGGTGCACTCGTCACAAGTGGGAAAAATTTAAATCTGCATGGCACTTTACTCCAATTGGCTCATTCGCTTGCTTAAACTCAACATTGATTCTGATTCCGCAGAACTGGGTTGGGTGTGAAAAAGTATTTGTTGTTAACATTCTTTTTTCATTCGGTTTTTCCAGTTACGAGTCCTTTTTTTAAAGCTGATCGTTTTGTGTTCATTTTGTTTAGTACTTTTTTCGTAACAGATTTAATGTTTAGTATAGAGCTTAGAAAAAATTCGCAGTGTGAGATAGGCAAGAAGTAAGGCATGTAGCAACATCAGCACGGTAAAGGGCACTCCTTTAAAGGCAAGGAAAGGCAAAAATAGTTTAAGTCAAGTGATAGCGATTGCTGTAGGAGTCGTACGATTTTTGAATCAAGCACGGGCAACGCCGGGCCATGCTGCTAGTATATATATATATATATATATATATATATATATAAAAATGGTATCCGAGGGAAAATGAAAAATAAAAGAAAACACCAGAAACCCCTGACAAGGTCAAAAGAAATCACCCAGTACCTTAAATCTCTGGTACAAAGAAAAAAACAAACAAAAAAAAAAAACAATGAGT